TTAAAATTGTTTCGGAAAAGTAAAGATCAAATAGATTCGTTGGTGCAAACTGTACAGTTGCTTAGTAAGGACATTAGATTGGAGTTTGGATTGAAAAAGTGTAGTGTGTTGAGTAGTGATAGAGGGATGAAATTAAGCCTCGTTGGTGTCGAGTAAGGTCCAGATAAATCATTGATATGCATAAGAGTCGAGTCCATGACTTTACCCATTGTTTTAACCTAGGGAAAAAGTGGGTTCCTCCATACTGATAAGTGCCCTCCTCCATATCTAGTGAGCGTCTGTCTTATGCAATAGGAACAATAGCCTTGCCTAGAATTGTCCGGTAAGTAACTTGAGCCCGGTTTGCTGGAACGGCCTATTACAAATATAGGAACAAGAGAAGAGATCACCTAGCAACACAAGAAACGGCTTATATTTTCTATTACAATTTAAGCGCTTAAATTCGGATATATAAACAAAACACACACACAGAAAGTGGAGCTGAGAACTCTTTATTTCAATTTTGACTGACTGCTACAAAACCGTTAGGTCTCAACGCTTGGTGAGCTTATGGCCTTGTCATTTTCACACGCCGTTAGTCAGTTAATTATATGCGAGTTAACAAGCCGACATTTGCATACAAAATGGCTCCACAGTAAAAACTCGAAGGGAGAACCTTGACTTATTATTATAAAAAGACACAAAAAATTTCTTAACTAAACAAGGATCAAGTAAAACACGCGACTAATAAACGCTAGCAATAAAACCAGACAAGAGATACCGTTTTAAAAACTTTATTGGAAACCAATGACAAAAAGCGGTATAATACACAGCGAATTGTTGTCGAAGAATCTTGTGTGCTTGATGTTAAGTCTGCAACAGTGGTGATTATTTCTTCCGGTTGTGTTCTTGAGTTCAATTGTTCTTTTAAAGCAAGATATCTTTTTTGCAACTGAAAGTATCGCTTATCTTTTTCATCGTTCCGAAGATTGTTTCCAGAAAGCACATCATCCATGTTGCCCTGTATTTCTTGCGTAGCTAGAAGAAGCAGGACGGGAGAAAGATTGTGCTGCTGTAGGCATTTTAAAAGCTCTTAAGGTATATTTTCTTGATACCCTGCTTGGTTAAAGCCTTATTCACTGGACAGGAGGTTTGTTCGCAGTGGGCAATTATCTTGGGTAGTAGTTTTTAGATTAATCAGCAGATAATCAAAAGGTCTTTTTATACAGCCTCCTTGTACTGATTCTGAAGCTTGATGTAATAGAGATAGAACCCGGGCTGCTTTTCCGGACTTGGTCATTCCAGCAGCCATGGAGGTGAAAGGATGTTCAAAGCGAAACCGCTGACATTTCTTTGAAGACATCGGAACTGTTTGAAATGGGGTGAGACCAGCATTGCATTGTTTAGACATCGCGTGCCTTTGCATGCCATCCTTTCTACTAAACGATTTTTCGCAAACGGAACACAACCAACCCATGTCAACTCCTCAGGAGCAGAATGTAGACTGAGAAAAAGGTAGAATGTTGCTCGTTTATATAGGTTTGGCAAACCATGAAACTACATTTCTATTGTTTTCCTCCACCACCACCACCACCCCATTTATATTGTTAAGTTATTAATTGCTTTTTTTGTGTGTGTGTGTGTTTTTTATAATAGTATGTCAAGGTTCTCTCTTTGGGTTTTTTACTGTATAGCTGAGCCAATTTGTAAGCAAATGTCGGCTTGTTAACTCGCATAATTAACTGACTAACAGCACGCTAAAATGACAAGACCATAAGGTCACCAAGCGCTGAGAGTTAGTCGTCTCCTCGAGATAGAATACCTGAATTTTGTCCTTGAGTTTTTTTTATATCCTATTTTTAGTCATGGTAATTTAAAGACATGATTAAAGACTTTACAGTTACACTTTGTAACGATAGCGTGGTCAACAACTGAGCGCTTTCATTTTGAACACATAATAGTTTCTACATGAGCCAATCATCCGGGTTAAAAGAGACCTGGCAATTCTAGGCAACTCTATTGTTCTTATTGTATAAGAGAGACGCTCATTAGATATGGAGGAAGACACTTATCAGTATGGAGGAAACCGTAGACTGTTCACAGTCCCCTATTTTTTCGTGAGATCGTCGAGATATAGCGCGTCTTTTAATGACAGCCATCTTGGTTTTCAAATGTACCGAGGGGGCGGGCGTCGGGGATTATAGCTCTAGGGGGAGGTGGGCGAGAAAAATAGAGGGACTGTAATAACATCACTGCAGTTTGCGTTCACAGAGCGCGTTGTACCAGCAACGCAGTCGTTTGATTGGTCATAAGACAATAGATGTTAATTTGCGTTGACAACGGGTTTAGTTTAAGTTGCCGACACTGACAAGTCGTTGACAAGTCGTCGTTTCTATAAAACGCACGCTTTCATACCATAAGGTACAACTTGCGCAAACACACGAACGATTTTTGGCATTTTGCGGATGAATCACGTAAGCCAACATGCTTTGGAAGCAGCCCGGCCGCGGGAATGTTGTAACACAGTTTCTGCCAAACGAATTGATATTTAACGCAACGCCGACGCAAAAAAGATGACCTGTCAGAAATGCCTGGCTTTTTATCGGGAGGTTTTAACCATTTTAGTCTATGGTCAAATGAGCATGCTTAGCGATTCGATTAGGAAAATGTTTCTCTTGTGCCTGTTTGCCGATTTTTTTTGTAGGAATGGCCTAGTAACATTATAAAATCACTGTTTCGAAAGGAGATATTTGTAAACACGCGTAATCGATGCTAAATGTGTCTGGCATGTTTTTCATCGCCAGCGGAGTTTCTTAATTAATGAATGGTAAAAGGCGTGAAATTCCTGTCACGCCTCCTGAACGCGAGCTGCAGTGATGTTATTACAGTCCCTCTATTTTTGTCGCTCCCTCCCAAACCGCCCCCTGCCCCCTAAGTAGTTTTGACACTCATGCAAGATGTAGCCCGAAACGCAAAGCGCTCGATCTCGACGATCTTACGGAAAAATAGAGGACTGTGAACAGTCTAAGGAAACCGCTTTTTTCCTACGTTAAAACAATGGGTGACGTCATGGACTCGACCCTCACGCATTTCAATGATTTACCTCAACCTTACTCGACACTTACTCGACACCAACGGGGTTTAATTTCGTCCCTCTATCACGACTGTATTGGTAATGACAAGGGAAAAGAAAGTAAGGTTTTGAGGGTATAACTCTTTTGTATGGGCGGATAATGGGAGAAATCGGTGAAAGAAGGTATAAATATTTAGGGATTATTGAGGCGGATTTAATAAACGAAAAGGAAATGAAAAAAAAATTCAAGAGAGTAAAAAAGAAGGCTGAAACTAATGTTGAAATCAAGATTGAATTGAAATTGGTCGTGCGCAGCTGTCAGTGCTGATCAAGTATGGAGCAGGTAAGATGGGCAAACGAAGAACTGAAAACATTGGATAAAATGACTAAGAAGGTGTTGACAATGAATGGTGCTTTCCATTCAAAAAGAGACGTTGATAGGTTGTATGTATCAAGGGCGGATGGAAGTCGGGCCGACTAATAAGCTGTGAGGGGTGTGTGACAGGTGAGTAAAACAGTTTTGGGTGGTGTGTGAAGAATTCTTGGGACGTTTTACTGCAAGGGGTAAGGGGTAAGGTGTATAGAAAGTGAGGAAATTGTCAGTTAAGTTGATTGAAAACATCTTGGAACAATGAGCTGAAACTCGACAGTTGGAAGGAAAAAAAGCTGCATGGTCAATTTCATGAGAAATACCCGGAACAACACATGTAAGAAAACTTGGAGCTGGTTACGAAAAGCAGACTCGAAGATCCAAACAGAAGCACTTATTTGTGCAGGCCAGGAACAGGCTCTCAGGACCAACCAAGTAACTGATACCATGTTAACTGCAAGACCGTGCGAATGCCCCTTATGTAGGTAATGTGGCCAGAGTGTAAACCATATTGTCTGTAGGTGTAACTGAAAAGTTAGCCCAAAGGGAATATAAACAGAGACATGACAATATTGCAAAAGTAGTTCGTTGGAAGGTATGTGAGAAATATCATCTGGGAAAGAAGGACAAGTGGTACGAACACGTGCCTGACAGTGTGAGTAAAAAAGATGAAGTTAAACTACTGTGGGATAATGAACATTCAATGTGATTATGTCATCGATGCTACAATAGACATGATCATGTTGTTGTAAACAAACAGGAGAGAGAGTGCGCCATTGTCGATACTGCTGTAGCAGGGGATAAGGGAATTGTTGAAAAGGTTAAAAAATATCAGGAGCTTAAAGCGACATTACAAGGATGTGGAACACGAGAACTGTGCATGTGATACAGACCGATACAGATTGTTGTAGGATCATTCGCAAGTGTGATGAAGAACTTGGAGAAGTGGCTGGAAAGTTGGACACAAGAATTTGTATTTCATTGCCCCCAAAAAACTCCGCTTCTAGGAACAGAAAGGATTTAAAGAAAAGTATTAGTCACTTCTAGAGTAAGGAGTCGAAATGTAAGGGTCCTTTTTCATGGGTCATGACTCGCTTCCTTAGCAAGTACAACTGTAAGAGATCAGCCAGTACACAAGGCAAGAAATAATAATAATAATGATGATGATGATGATGATAATAATAGTAATAATAATAGTCATTTGAATGATAATTTTAAAACTTGTATACTTAATAAGGGAAATAGGACTGAGTGGAGTCAGGAGACCACATAGCTGGAATCCGATTTGTTTAATCTTGAGTAACAATTAATCATAACTAAACAAAATTTGTGATAATTTCATATTTTATTAGCTTTAAAACACAAGATCCAGCGAGAGTTTTTTACGGATAGAAGAAAAAATATAACAACTACCCCCCCCCAAAAAAAAAAAAAAAACAAAAACAAAACAAAACAACGGTAACAACCACAGGTAGCCCAAGCTCGAAATATGAGCATCGGCGAGCATCGGCATTGTTGCGTAACATTCAAAATATAAGGATTTGTATGGGAAAAAAACCTATCGTTTCCGTAACCTACGAAAAAGAAAGGATTTTAATAAAAGCAGCTTACCTTACTTAAAATGTGTGTCACGTCTCTCCTGTGTGGTCCACGGGCCGATTTATGACCGTTTTATGGGTTTTTATGTAAACGGTTTTCTCTTTATATAAAGGTTTACCAAGGTTGGGCACTCCGCGTTACCGTTGACAGATAGCGACACGGCCTGAGACTTAAATTACTCACACTCAGGGTGGGAGACATTCTCTTCCTCCCGTTGACACAGTAGGAAAATAACGGGAGCAAGAGACTGTCTTCCACCCAGAGTGTGAGTAATTTGAGTCTCAGGCCGTGTCGCTATATCTGTCAACGGTAACGCGGAGTTCAGGCCGAGCCTCTGTCGATGGCCTCAGACGGGAAAGGTTGCAGAGATTTGCGACCTTTGATTCGCTCTCGGTGCAAAGGAGTCTTGAAGCAAGATAACGAATGGAAAGAAGAACTATCGTGTGTTACCTAGGCGGAATTTGGAGGCGATTGGAGCAGTTGGAGGGAATTTATGGCCGTTTTCCTTCGGTGGATCAGACGAGCCGCTTCGCTGGGGTGCCCAACCTTGGTAAACCTTTATATAGAGAGAAACCCGTTTATATAAAAACCCATAAAACGGACATAAATAGGCCAGTGGACCACACAAGAGAGACGTAACACACATTTTAAGTAAGGTAAGCTGTTTTTTATTGAAATCCTTTCATTTTCGTAGGTTACAGAAACGATAGGTTTTTTCCCATACCAATCCTTATATTTTGAATGTTACGCAACAATGCCGATGCTCGCCGATGCTCATATTTCGCTACCTGTGTAACAACAACATCGAAGAGCGCGCGCGGCATGGCGTGATTATTGTACCATTACTCAGGTTTATATGACGGGCACTGTCCCATTAGACTGTTATAATCATATTTAGAACAGCAGGTAATAGTGGTAATAGGACTCGCACTGGAATCAATTCCGTCTGTAATCATCGGAGTGATTACAGAAAACTGTTTCTTATGAAGCAGTTTTCATATCAAGAATACTCATTCACTGTGCAGATTCAGTTATGTCTGCTTGTCATTCAATTATGTTGTTTGTCTTTTAATTATGTCTCCTTGTCATTAAATTATTATGTCTCATCATGCCTGCTTGACGTTCAATTAGGTTCGATATTATCTTTCAATTACTACTTTTTGTCTTTAAATTATCCCTGGTCATTTGGTCATTTAATTATAACTGTTTGTCATGCAATTTCTTACCTTATGAACTTCATTGAATTGTGGCTTGTTGGGATTCAATTAGTCAATATCGTTGCAATATCGATTGACCGCTTGTACCTGAGCCCGCAAAAGCACCGCTGATTACTGACTCTCAGGATATCCACCGCTCCATTCAACAATGTTAATGCTCGTTGATAATTTTCTCCTTTTCCCTCGGAATCGCTCACATCTTGAATTTCCTTCGACGCCATTTGCAAACCTCGTACAAGAAAGGCGCGAAGAAGCAGTAATTGGAAGATAATATCGAACATAATTGAATGTCAAGCAGGCATGATGCGATATAGTAATTGAACGACAAGAAGACATAATTGAAAGAGTCTATCTTTTTGTCGAGGGTCGAGGGTCGAGGGTTCCATGTCGAGGGCGAGGGTACCATGTCGAGGGTCGAAGGTAACATTTTTTTTTCCATTTTTTTTTTTTTTTGGAAAAGGTAATAATCGATGCAATCAATGTCATTAAAACAGATAAGAAGAATTTAAAAAACAAATGGCGCGTGAACATCTTCTAGTTGTTGGGTGGGGGGGGAAGGGGGTGGAATAGAGAAAAGCTCCTGGACCGTCCCAATTTTTTTTCGAAGAATTACATTTATAACACCCCGGAAACCCATACCACGAACAGAACACGTTACCTGAAAACACTGATTTTAAAAAAAATGTTGTAAACACAATTTAAAATGTCGTAAAACAAGAATGAGTGCGTTGAATTATGAATTTCTGGTCCAACCAACAAGAATGGAAGGAAAAAACTCTTATGGCGTTGTAAAGTGTGTCATAAAAGGTGTCATAAACGAACAATGCAATCGTTGGAGTCTTTCTTTTTGCAGAGCTATTAAAATGCGCGAACTCGCATGGAAATCGCCACCCACTAACGCAGAGGTTTAAAATAGAATAATGCCTGGTAGCGACTTTCGGTGAGGTGAACATCGGCATTTGCCGACGCTTTCCCTAGGCCACAATCCGTCATATTTATTTGTGAACGTGGACGTGGTGGAAGTGAATAGGAAAAAAAACAGACGTACGGTCCATGTCTCCCATTGATCCAATTAATTGTTTTACATCATGTTGACACACTTCTACTAAAGATCTGTTGTTTTGCCAAGTTGGACATGAATAGGAGAAACCGGAGTACTGCGATAATGCCGTTTATCTTGAACCGTGAATACAAGTTTTTTATTGCCGAAAAAAAATCGACTGTGTTGCAAATTCTGTTTAACTGTTTGAAATGTTACAATGTCACACAAGGCCATTCCTGTACAATTTTTCGGTCGGTCGGGCAAGAAAAAATGGCATTGGGTTTGTGGTTCTGTTTTGAGGATATTTTCCCTGGTATTTCAATTCAAGCTTTCTCTGTCATCTATTTTTCCGTGGTTTCTGATGTAAATTTACTACTTTTAAAATCATGCAAGAAACTGGACAGTGTATTCCAAGTCTGTCTTTTTGCGGAATTTTTTTTTTTCTTTAAATATTCATATAGTGTACACTCTTTTTTTCTTTTTTTGAAAGTTCGCATAATTGGTCTGCTTCGATCTGATCGCTGTTCGTGAATAAAAGGTCCCCTTTTCGTGCAAAATAGGAGGTGATCGCTGAAGCCGTTGTGAAGAAAGTTTTTGCGCAGACACCTCTGATTTCTGTTTGAAATGCACACTAGGGATAAAGATGTGTACAAAATTAATTTCGCCATATGACTTCCTATTGTCCCAGTGCCGCCATCAACTGCGTCGATAAGTATTGGTTTTGCGTTCCTTTTGTGTTTCAGGGTGTTTCAAATTTCTGCAGTGATACACTTTTTAAGCTGCAGAACATAACGTTGGTAATTAAAGGAGTTTATTATTGCGGCGCGACTTGGGCGATAGCATCAACCATCTAAATTATCACTCCAGCTACGCACCTACGTACCTACGTAGGTCACGATTTCCGGTGTCGGGGATTATCGATGACTTGTATTTTAAAATTTCATGGCGAGTTTCTACTTCATTGAAAGCACGACGCATACAGTGAGATAGCTTAAAAAACAAGAATCGGTGAAATATCCATATTCAAACTACCCCAATGAACAGCCAAGCAAGGGAGAGAAGAGGCAGACGTGACTGAAATCTAAGCCGCGAACCCGGGGGGAGTACTCCCATACATTACATATACGGGTATGTGCCGCCCAAAGGGGTCCTGATTTTGAAGCTCCTGATTTAGAACGGGGTATCCATTTCAGAGGCGTTTTCTAGAACGGGGTATAATATTTCGAACGCACGAAAGCTCCATTTTTGTTGGCAGCCATTTGAAAGTATTCAAGGACAGATTGCTTTTAAAAATACGGTTCAATGCGTTAACAAGCAAACCGTTGTACTCTTGTTGCACCCTAGAACGGAGTATAAAAAATTGACCCATTTCTAGAACGGGGTATCAATTTTAGGGGAAATTTTTTCCAGAACGGGGTGCCATTTTGGAGTCCCGGGCGGCACATACCCACCCAAAAAATACCCAAGTGCCCCCCCCGGGGCCGCGAAGCAGGGGCACCCAACCACGGTTACCTCCTAAATGCATTGAAAACACTTTTTCGGTTATCCAGAGTACTTTCAAATCTCTATAAATGCATTCTAAGCGGCGCTATAAAATTGTATCTGTTCGGTCGTCCTATGGCAACTTGAATCTTTTCGAAATCACTTAGGGCCTCAGTATTATTTTCCCGAAAATTTTAGATGCAATTTTAGTTTTTACGAAAGTGAGAATTTTTCTGATTCCTCTCTCCATCGCATTTTCTAATCCGAAAATTTTAGATTTCCTTTTTCTACGAAAAATAGGCTAAGTTGGGGACTGAAATGTGAAAAACTAAACTTTAGAAAATCGTAGGGAATTAATTAGATAAGCTA